AAGCTAACCGCTAACAACAAGTAGCTGTTTCCTCCTTTACTTATATATGCTACGTGCTAAGCTAATCTAAATACAACCACATGTAGATGGTTAAAAGATAAAAGTGACATTTATAAATCTCAAATTACTCACTTAACTTTTTACACAGTTCTGTCTGTAGTTTGTACTTTTTCCAAATTTGTAACAATTAAACAGATTTAATAAGTTTCTTTTGAGACAAATTAAGTGTTTTATTCTACAGAAGCGTATTGCATTCACTTGAAAATTTGTTTTTGTGGTTTGTTTTTCACCAATTCGTAAAAGAAAATACTCAAAAAAACAGTAAAAATTACTCAAAATAAAATATGCTTCGGTATTATTCTCATAGTTTTATTAGACAATTTACACGTAGTGAAGTGAACCAAACACTGAGCTACAGGTCTACAGTGTATACGTGCAACCACAGAGATTACTGATCAGGAAACATCTTCTGTTACAAAGCTGTGGTTGCAGTTCATTGCAACCGGGCGAGAGACAAAGAGAGAGAACTGGAGTCAGAGAGAGAGAGAGACATGTTTTACAGCTGCAGACATAAACCGTGGTACTTCCTGTAGTATCAGTAACAGGAGGTTATTCTGCAGTTAAAGTACTGACACTTTTAAATGTATAAAACCGTAATTTATTTTATGGTTGGTTTTTCACCAATTCGAACAAAAAATTACTCCAAAAAACAGAAATAATTACTCAAAAAAACAGAGAAAATTACAAAAAAAAGAGAAAAATTACAAAAAAAACAGAAAAAATTACTAAAAAAAAATATGCTTTGGTATTATTCTCATTGTTTTATTAGACGATTTGCACAGAAGTGAACCAAACACTGAGATACAGGCCTACAGTGTATTCATGTTTCCTTTAACAAGCGACCACAGAGATTACTGATCAGGAAACATCTTCTACATTACAAAGCTGTGGTTGCAGAAACATTGCTGCCAGGCGAGAGACAGTAACAGTAACTTCCTGTAGTGTCAGTAACAGGAGGTTCATTCTGCAGTTAAAGTAATTTAACTTTTTATGAAACCTTAAAGACGTTGAACTCACCGTGTAGATTCGGCACAAGCTGAACCTGCCGAGGAGTCTGGAGGCGAACATGTTGAAACCGACTGAGCTGTTTTCTCTCAGCAGACGACGCCTCGACTCTGGAGGAATGTCTGAGGCGAGTGGAAACAGGTTTTATGGCAGGAAGCCGTTAACCCTCTCCTGACTCACTGAGTTTCAGACTTCACTTGTTCTTGTTGTGCAGGAAGTCACACAGGAAGTGAGTCACACTTAAAGCGTCGCCTAGCAACCAATTAAAGGCACGTTAAAGACAGTTTATCTAACGGACGTTTAAAGGATTCACCTTTATTAAGCCCCGCCCCCTTTTGGAACCGGTCAACTTCCCCCTTTCCTGTACTTAGATATGCTATATGCTAAGCTAATCTAGGTTGAAAAGACATTTTTAAGACGGTTAAAAGATAAAATCTTAACTTAGCTAATGTTAGCTAAATGCTAGCTAACTGACTAGCTAATCTACATCACTTGTTAGCTACTTACATCTGATAGCTGATGCTAACAATTAATTAATTAAAAAAACGCTAGCTAACTTGCGAGCTAATCCGCAAACTAATAATTGATATTGATTAACGAGCTAGTTAGCGAGCGGTTTCCTAACATTAGCTAACTGAAGATGTATTTTTTATCTTCACAAATGTCTCTTTAACATAGATTAACCTAGCACATAGCATAGCTTAGGTTAACTAATGTTAGCAAAATGACAGCTAACTACCTAGCTATATAAATCTATATAAATAGTTAGCTGGGTTGTTAGCTAGCATTTTGCTTACATCAGCTTTCAGATGTAACGAGTTAATGATTAATGTTTATTAGCTAATAAAAGCTATAGTTTTTCTCTATAGAAAAAAGTGCTAGCTAACTAGCCAGCTAACCAGCAAGCTAACAATTCATATAGATTACTGAGCTAGTTAGCTAGCACTTTGCCAACTCTGATACTTAAATGCTTTGTGCTAGGTTAATGCTAACTAGCTAGCTAATGCTATCTGTAATCATTAGCTAACTAGTTAGCATCAACTAACCATCGACCTTTTATATAACAGACATATAACAGTCTCTCTAATGACCAGCAGGGGGCGCTAACTCACAGATACCATTCAGTCTTATGGAGAAATGAGACGACTTCTCGGTTGAGAGCAGCTCAACTCGCTTTACATGACCTCCGCTGGATCCAACAAACTGTCACTGTCATCAATTTTAAAATACATCAGTCTTTATTTTAAAAATGTTTATTTTTGAAGCAGTTTAATACAGTTAACCAACACTTTTTATTGAAATTTCTCTCGTCTTTATTTACATAATCAAGTTACTTTAATGCTGTGATACTATACGTAGTGATAACTGACTACAATGAGTAATTGTATCAGATTACATTTGTAACCCTTGAGGCACCTTTAAAAT